TATAGGGATAACCAGGCTAATTTTGGAATACAGGACTGTTCCAGGAAAATCCTGGAAGTCTGTTGGATCACAGCAGGGGACATTTGTGGCAGGACATCTTTTGCATGTTAGAAAAGACTCTGCTTTTAGCCAGGAAAAGAAGTTACATAGCTGCTAATCACAGCTTACAATTAGTCATAGCATGCTCAAGTTTCAGTCTCTTTACATGCCTGTGTGGGAAATCTCCAACTGGCAATCTGGCAACAGGGAGTTCTCAGGATCCATATTCCTCTTTGCAGTTAAGGGGACCATCGATGCCAGCCCATACAAAGGTAGGGAGGCAGCATGTCTGCTCAGCAAAGCTATTGCTTTCTTTGCTTTGCTCGGATCAGACATAGATGCAAAGGAGGGAAACCCTCACTAAATTCTGAAGCTTACCACTAGTAGGAGGGAAAGTATTTAGAGAAAATAGGAGTCTGGGAGACTGTGGACAAGAAGGTGTGGTTGTACTTAAATACACTACACAGAGCAATGCCAAGAGGGAAACGTTAGACTTAGAATTGCAGAGGGCTATTTAAAGTCCGAGCTCTGAACTAGTTATTTTCTGGGTGATTCACCATCCAATTTCTCCAGAGCTTCTTGCAGTGATTTCAGAAGGTATAGAAGGGTATCCCAACCCTACCCCTCTGCCCCATGCATTTTGGTAGAAACAGAAATCTAAATTTAAAGCTAAAATTGAGGCTTTTCTTGGAACCTCTGGAGTGAAGAAACAGAGGGGCCAAGCATCTGATCAGGCATTGCATGCATATCTAACCTCTGAGACAAGCCATTTGAATTTTTGTTGTTCACTCTCAGTTTTAAACCGCTGCACAAGTGATCCATATGTGAAGGACATGCAGGGCTATCTCCCACCCATGTAACTTCCAGCTAAATGTAATCTCAGAGAAATTATTTTGAGGTGGGAGGAGGACAGGAAATCAGAGTATGTTCCTCCTTGTTTATTCTAAGGCAGAATTTTGTCTGTTGTTTTTACATTTTGGAGACTGTAAATGTTCATGTGATTTAAAAAAAACAAACAAACAAACCTGTGGCTATCAGGTTGTGATTCCAAGGAAAGGAATGAATGAGAAACAGTAAAAAGTTGTTGGCACTATTTTTTTATGCATTTTTAATTTTTAATTTTTTAAATATTTACTTATAGTTTATTAACATTGTATACCAGCTGTATCCTGCTCCCTCATTCACTCCCAATCAAATCCCATCCTTCCTCATCTCCTCCCTGCCCCTTTCCAAGTCCACTGATAGGGGAGGTCCTCCTCCCCTTCCATCTGACCCTAGCTTATCAGGTTTCTTTAGGACTGGCTGCAATGTCCTCCTCTGTGGCCTAGCAAGGCTGAGCCTCCCTCTTTGGGGGGGTCGGTCAAAGAGCCAGCCATTGAGTTCATGTCAGCAATAGTCCCTGTTCCCCTTACTAGGGAACCCACTTGGATACTGAGCTACCATGGGCTACATCTAAGCAGGGACTCTAGGTTATATTCATACATGGTTCTTGGTTGGAGATACAGTCTCATAAAAGACCCCTGTGGGAGGTCCTTGTGGAGCTCCTGTGCTCTCCAGGTCATACTAACTCCCTCTTTTTTCATATGATTCCCTGCACTCTGCCAAAGGTTTGGTTATGAGTCTCAGCATCTGCTTTGATACACTGCTAGGTAGAGTCTTTCAGAGGCCCTCTGTGGTAGGCTCCTGTCCTTGTTGGCACTAATTTTTTGAAAGCTATTTTATTTGCGTTCTTATATCCCTATCTCCCTTCCAATCTCCCAACACTAGGTAAGAGAGAAAGAAGGTTAGAGGGGGAAAGAGTGTAGGTCTCTTCAGACTACTTCCTGCTGATTAGGGTTGTTGGGTTCCTGGTGGCAATTCAATCTTCGTTGTTAGGATATCGCCAACTTCTTGTCAAACTGCAACAAGAGCAACCAGGACCAAAAGGGGGAAGCTGCAGACTCCTCCTTTCCCTCTCCTTTCTTTATTCCTCCTCCTCCACGTCCTCCTCCTTTTTCTTTGGAACACCCCTGTCCCTCTCTGGACTCTGGCATTAATTCTCTCTCCAGAGTCCCCAGAATTAAACCATCTGCAGCTGTAAAGATCATGCACCAGCTAGTGCACAAGACAATCATAGTTTACAGCTGTGGACAAACTGAAGCAGCCCCATATCCCACACCTGAAATTAAAGCAAAAACATATTCACATAACTGGGTTTTCAAAGAAACCAAAACTCTCATTACAGTTTGTGATGGTCTAATGATGCAATAAAAGGGGCAAAAAAAAAAAATCCCCTTTTCTTTGGTTGTTTGTAGAAGACCTAGAGTAGCCATGGAGATATTATTTGTATTTGCTGGCTACCATGGGTTATGCATGATTTTCGAGAGTGACATCAGGGATGTGTGAGAAGTGGTTTCGGATGCTGCATTCTTTCTAAACACAAGGTTCAGTAGCATCACCTTAGGAGATAGGCTGCAGTGAGGGTACACACAGGAAATCAGCAATTGACACAGGCCAGTGGGGTTTGTTTTTTTTTTTTAGCTCCAAGTAAATTTTCTTTTTTTTTGCCAATGTCTGGTATAGCCAGCTTTGATAATCCTGCCTCTACCATCCAGATGGTGGGACTATAAGTATACACTACATATCCAGTATGTGATGAAGGGATTAATTAACTCTAGCTTATATAGTTTCTTTAATTTTCCTTGTGTTATAGGCTCATGCATCCTCTGTTCTTCAGCATACAAGAGTGTTTAGAAAAAAAATAATTGTTTGAATGCATTTGTTCCGAGTCCATCCTTTTAGTGAGAACTTGGCTGTGGGTAGAATGGCGTCTGAAGTCTGTTTTCATACTGATCATGAGCTAGGAATGGGCTTTCTTCCTTAATGTGCTTTAGTAAATAAGTAAACATGAGGCAGCAGGAAAATCCTAGCAACATACTTACTAGGGTTGTTATAGCCACCAAGACTGAAACTAACATGTTGGTTAGAATGATACAGCAGTTTTGGAAAAGCCAGAAGATTAAGCCACAATGGCCACATGACCCATAGGTCCATTCCTAGGTATGTGTGCAAGAGAATACAAGCCATTCCACATGGAAACTGTACATATATGTTCATAACCATTTCGCTCATAACTAATAATTATTTCCCAAAGTCAAATGACCCAAATGTCTAGTGCTAATGGGTACAGTCTGTTATGGTGAGCAAACTTTGGCAATGAGAGAAGTACATGAAGCTTTAACAAGGTTAACTTTGGAAGCATGAGGAAAATGAAATATGTGAGTTACCAAGGACCATCTATTGCATAATGCCAAATATATACCATGTCCAGAACAAGCAAGTGACAGAGAGACAAGAGAATGTGGCTTTCCAAGGACCAAATCAGGTTCTTCTTAGAAGGAAATGTTAATGTGCATAAGTTTGTTTTGGAGGCAATGAACGAAACTGAAAATTAATTGTGGTAATGGGTTCACAATCCCGTAAATACACTAGAGCCTACAAATTTAACACTTTTTTAAAGGATGAGTTATGGTTTTGAATTTATAAGTTTTTATCTCAATAAAATGTTATTTTAAAAACATGTTCCTTAGGCATCGACAGAAAAATCTAGAATCCACCATAGCTGCCCAATTTGTTCATTTGCCTTTGATGTATAACAGCATTTAATGAGCACTTACAATAGTACTGATATTATTTACTAAAAGGAATGTAATTTTAATGATTAAAAGAACAAAATTGGCTGAGTGTAGGGAACCATATTAAAGAAGAGGTAGCCAGTAAGACTGAGAGAGTACAGGAGCTCCACAAGGAGAGCAACAGAACCAAAATATCTAGGCTCAGGGGTATTTTCTGAGACTGATACTCCAACCAAGGTACATTCACAGACACAACCCAGAAACCCTGCTCATTGGTATTTTTTATTGTTTCTTTTTTGTCTTGTCATGCTTTTTTCTGGTCTTGTGCTTATATATTTTGGTATCAAATTTGGATGCTTTGTATGTGTTGTATGTGTGTGAGTGTTTGTGTGTGTGAGAGAGACAAAGAGAGAAAGAGACAGACAGAGAAACATAGAGAGTTATGCGTCTCGGCATCTGCTTTGATGCATTGCTAGGTGGAGTCTTTTTGGAGGCCCTCTGTAGGAAGCCCTGCTCAGATGTACCCCATGGCAGCTCAGTATCCAAGTGGGTTCCCTAGTAAGGGGAAGAGGGACTGTCTCTGACATGAACTCAATGGCTGGCTCTTTGACCTCCTTTGCCCTGAGGGAGGAGCAGCCTTGCCAGGCCACAGAGGAGGACACTGCAACCAGTTCTGATGAGGCCTGATAAGCTAGGTTTGGATGGAAGGAGAGGAGGACCTCCCCTATAGGTGGACTTGGAGAGGGGCATGGGAGGAGATGAGGCAGGGAGGGTGGGAGTAGGAGGGAATGAGGGAGGGGGCTACAGCTGGGATTCAAAGCAAATAAAATGTAATTAATTTAAAAAATAAAAATTTAATTAAAAAAAGAATAAAATTGTTCACCGAACAATTAGCTAACTGAAATAAATGGAGCCTCACTTAAAAAGTATTGCGGGGCCTGGAAGGATGGCTCGGTGGTTTAAAAGCACACACTGCTTTTGCAGAGAGCCTGATTTAGATCATACCACCCACAGCAGGGCTGTTCACAACTGCCCACAACTCCAGCTCCAGGGGTGTCTGATGTCTCTTATCCCCACGGCACCTGAACTCACATGCACAGAATCACACTACACACACACACACACACACACACACACACACACACACATCATTAAAAATATTGTATGGTTTTTAAAAGTAGCTATGACAATAACTTCTACTTTTTATACTATTTGAAGCACACATCAGTCCTGTCACTACTTTTAAAGAGATTGTTTGCAGTTTGTGCATTCCACGGTCATGTAATTAGCCTAGTGATTTCATATGCATATAATAATCTATTTATTAATTAATAGAGATGAGAAAACTTTAGATAATAAAAGACTTTATTCAAAATATCTAAAGATCCATACAGTCCAAAATGCAAAAATAAAAGAAAATTTCTGGAAACTTAAGGACTGTCTAAAAACCACATTAACATTTACTACTTAAAAGATAATATCAAAGTTGAAGCTGTTCTTTGTGTTTCACAATATCTGAGCTAGATTTTCTTCACCCACTATACTATTACCTGTTTCAGTTCTAATGCTTAAATTTATAACTTGGGTCTTTTCTCACAAGCAAGAACACATAGCATCAAACTCTCTACAAAATGGAAATAATTCAAAAAACAAGCAACAAATTTCTACTTTTACAGCAAAGTATACTTCTTTTGCAAATAGTGGGGGCAAAGGGATTCCAAATCGAGCTAGACTCTCTCCTGTTTGAAGGCTATCTAGATTACCCATCATCCATTAATGAAGTACAAGCCATGAGCTAAATGCTTCTACCGATTATGAGCCAGGAATCAACATCTAGATACCGAGAAACTAGTTTGCCTCTGCTCATGAATCAAGAAGCAAGGCTTGCTGTGAGACCTGCATGGAGGCAGAGTGAGGCCTTACTAGTTTCCCATGGGAAAAGCTAGTTTCTTCTGCAGAAGAAGAAATAGAAGTACAAGAGTTGGGGTTTCTACTGCAAAGACTTAGTTTTGGGTCAGAGTAAGAAGTTCAGAATACAAGGTGGAGCTTCCAGTGTGAGAGGACTAATAGAGAAAGAGTTAAAACCAGGATAAAGCCTCTTTTCAGACAGAGTTCACTTTTCAGAAGTAAAAATAGCAAAACAAGAATAGAAAAATATAATAGCTAGGGAGTTTCTCATTTCTAAGCCCAGGGGCTTTTGTAAAAGCACTTTGAAGGAGCGATCTCTCTTAAAAGATAGCCCCTAGACATCTTATTCCCCCCTACCACCAGTACAACCTTGTTAGGTAGAGAGCACGAGTTGAAGGGACAAAGCTGAGCCACGGAGATGTTGAGAGGTGAGGACCGCATGGAGAGCTGACGGGCTGGAGATGGCATGGTGTGCAGCACTGGCTTGGAGACAGAAACAGAAGGTAGAGGAACAACAGGAACTTTTACACATAGACAAAAGGAATAATCCGGGGCTTTAGTGGCAATACCAGCTACTTAACATAGTTTTACAGAGGATTTGGGGTCTCTGGTACACAATGAAGCCAAAGATAATGGACACTCCTCCTCCAGGGACTGAAGTGCTGGGTTTAAGGGAATCTTTGCAGTTGTGTTTCATGGGATTATGTGAGGCACAGAGTACAACTGAGTCACTCGTGAGCTGGAGGAAACTGGTGCACACAGAACAAACTTCTGCTACCTCTAGTTAAAATACAATGACTACCCGACTACTCATAGGATTTCTGAGAGGAATTTAACTTAGCTTGATTGAAACATCAGAGTGGATTTAAAATCCTGACTGTTTTTGGAAAGGGTACTGAAGACCAAAATAATGGCGTACACTCACTTGGAAAAATGTGTGTAACTTTGGCCTTCCTGGATCTTCTGTGTGTCATTAAGGAAAATTAACCTCTGAAGAAAGGCAGCTAACTCGTCTCTCCATGGTTGTCAGACACATCTGCGGTGGGACAGGGTTCAGTTCTAAGTCACTGCAGCAAATCCAGTGGAATGGATTCCCAGGGAGGACTCCCCTTAGGGTTTCCTCTAATCACCTTTCACAGTTAAATTCCATGCCACAGAGATAAAATCAATCCAGTGTAGGTCACAAAACCAGCCATTGTGTTGTACCCATAAGCTCTGATCCTAGAAATAGTCCAGGGAAACCCATAAAAGGGCAACTGTGTGGCCTCCCACCTTTAGAGTGGCAGGAGACTGAACTATCTCTGAAAGCTCCCTTTGTTTATGGAAGATCGTTTAGGATAGTAATTAGAACTTGATAGTAACTTTAAGACCAAGTGACCTCCTGTGTAGCATTTGCTCCTGAGTGATAAATCCACTGTGGAACTTTAGCACAAGAGGCCAGAAGCCTGTCAGTTGGTTGTCAATCCAGATCCTGGGCTCTTTTTGATAAATCTGCACAATGCTGACAGTGCATCCCAAGATAACAGCTGTTACTATGGATAAATGTCAGTAAAACTCTTCAGCAGGTTCTTGATTTCAGAGCAGTGACTAGCCCACCACACCCTAGAGTAAGAGGCTGGGAAAACCTGAGAAATATTTACTAAGTTCTGGATTTCACTTTAAAAATTATTCTCTAACATGCTGATCAGTTTTAATATGCCTCTAGGGATGGCTGGTTAATATCTAAATCATCCTAATCAAGAGCCCACATCTTCCAGCAGCCATCAGCATCTGCAAAGGCTCTGGTCACTTCAGAGGCCGTTACTGCACACTTTATTTGCAGCTCAACCCTAGAGACTTTGTTAACCCAGCAAGTGAATATTTTCTGTGGTCCGGCTGGTGGTGCTGATGGTGAGTGGATTGGTTCAATTCATGTAAAGCCAGTCCTCCCATGAACAAGCCCAATGGATTGAAGATACTTGGCCTGTTCTCTCTGTAGAAACCAAAGAGAACACAGTATGGCTGACTAAATCAGGAAGGGTATTGCTGGACTCGACTCTGAGAACTCTTTCAGATAGGCATGGGATGCTGTTGGGGTTGCTGGGAAGGGTAGCATAGGGGTTCTCTCTACTTGATATGAGTCTGGAGGACTGTTCTGGAGCCTTCTGGCTTAACATAGAAGATGTAGTACTTGGACTAAAATACTGGGGAGGTTGCCATGAGGCATATAGACTTACACATCTGTCTACCAAATGCTACCAAAACAGCCGTAACAGCTGACAAAGTCCAGCATATAATATTCTTGAATGGAAAAAAATCCATATATTTCATCATCTGTAACAAGAGTACTGTAGTAACAGTTTATAGTTGACTAGGTTTGCAAACATTAGCTTTTGGGTTAATATAGATAAAAGTCCTGGGTTCTTTCAGAGTCTTCAAATGACCCAAGGATGAAGGGAGGGCCTTGCCATTCAAGCACCACAAAAAACACACAAAGCTGAGAGGCACAGGTGGTGACACTGGAATTCCGAGTTTCACCCTTTCTACCCTTCTCTGACTTCCTTCCAGATGCCTGAAATATGACTGTTGCCACCCTGGGAACTTAATCTTTATTGAATGGAGTCAAGCAGTAAGAAGCATGTCAAATTAAGTCCAGGAAAGAATGTTAAAAGTTTGTGCCTTATAAAACCAAACGAAGTGGTCTAGGCTGTTTTATCTGATTTGGTTGACTGGCCTTTGTAGCTTAACCTAATGCAGGCTAAACTCATGGACAGAAGAGCACTTTTTGAATATTCAGAGGTCAAAGTGAGCACATGTGCTTTCTACTTCAACATTTCTTACAGTTTTATGTGTAGGCTTTTGTGCTCCTGTTTTAAAAAGAAAACCATGACAACTATATCCCCAACAAGCAAAGCAGATGACTGATGAAATACATGATCCACAGCTGTGTGGTATGGGAGTATGACCTGCCAGTTCCCGTGGGAGCTCTTGAGAGAGGACAAAGCAGGGGTACAAGCCAATCTGGTGAGATGATTTATGTAAGGTGATGGCCCTAGAAGCCACTCCTTCCCACACACTCAGTAGTAATTCGTAAAACAGGAGGAACCGTGAATTCTAACAATGCACATCTTCAATCCTACCTAAAGCTCAACAGAGATGAACCTTTTTAAATGATTTATTATTCTTACTGCATGTGTGCAGGCGGTGGTAAGAGGGCCATGTTGTGGCCCTTATATCTCCTTATAGTTCAGTGTTATCTCAAGGGACTGAACTCAGGGGCCCAGGTTTGCATGGCAAGTGCCTTCACCCGAGGAGGCACCTCAATAGCCCAGATATGAAACTTTTTGGGGGGATAAATTGCAATTGGTTATATTAAATCTGGACCAATACCGAAATGTCCTCACTGCTGAATGGCTCTCCCCGGAACATTCTAGTTCTCTAAATACTGGCAAAGGCACTGGAAGTTGAAATCAATAGGTAACAGTGGAGTCATAGGTACTTGTTAGTTTGGCGAGAACTAACAATTTCTCATTCATCATACCCTAGTTTAATTCTTACCACAGTTCTGAAAGGTTGACAGCAAGGTCTCTGCTTCACGGGTGGAGACAACTAATATCCTAGACAGATTATTTTCCTAAATTTCCATAGTTAGGGGTAACACTAGGTATAGACCTGATGTGTTGATTCTTCTAACAATAGAGTCTCCTCTGATCCCAAGGTGGGCCTATTGTACAGTAAGAATAACACCAGGAGTCAAGGGAATGCAAGGAAAAACAAGCAATACCAAAAAAAAAAAAAAATTGAAATTTAGACTTCAATGAAAGACAACTTGAGATGAAAGACTTGGTCCTGTTTCTGAGTGAACAGGACACAGAAAAATAACAATAACAAGAGCCTCTGGCCACTTAATGGGTATTTCTTTAGACGTGTGTGTGTGTGTGTGTGTGTGTGTGTGTGTGTGTGTGTGTGTATTATACCGATGCCTAACACAGGTAAGAGTTTCATATACTCCAAAGCACGGAGCATCTACGAAATGTCAGGCATAGAGGGAATTCTCATAGAAGAACACAATGACTCTCTGCTGGTTGCACTCTTATTAAGTCAGGCTGATCCTAGCCTCAGTGTAGTGAGATGCAAAGAGTCCTGGTGGTCTGCAATGCTGGCAGGTGAAACAGGCAATGGAGGCTGCAGTGAGGGTGAACATGCACCTCCCCTCCCCCGCCCCACACTGCTGAGTGGCAGCAGTATAGGAAACCTGCTACGGGATTTACTTCTGGCCCAGTGAACACTAACAAAACCGTAATGGATCAGCTGTGACTGTGTCTCTCAACCTCACTTTCTGACCTTTATAGTCTAGTGTCCATCATCAAGTGGACCAGGCCCCAAATTCAGAGAGCAGCAGACTAGTTTTAGATGGCTGTTTTTTTTTTTTCTTTTTTCTTTTCTTTTTTTTTTTTTTTTTTTGGTTGAGGGGATGGTTAATTAAACCCTTTTAAAGCTGTTCTGTATTTAGCTAACTTTTTTTTAATAGAGAACAGACAGGAGGCACTAGAATAAGCTATTATGAAGTTTATGTGACCCATGTCTGAGGCCAACACCTATCAAATATAGTAGTTTGTCCAAGAAATTTCATAGCTGAAAGACACAGATAGAGTGAACTAGCTGACAGCAGAGAGTACCCACGCCCTAAAATAACTTTTTCATAGCAATACTAAAGAACATTGAAAAGTAGACAGTGGGTTCCTCCTGGGAGGGTGCTAAGGAAAGGACAAAAGGTGTCCCAATCCTTTTCTCTGGCACAAACGAAGACATTCCTCCTCTCTCCCTGAGGCCATAGTGTGCTTTTGTGAAGTCTACGGCCTGCTTCCCAGCAGGACTCGGGAGACTGTCCTCAGTATTGAGATATTTTAAAGCCTTCTGAAGGAGAGGGAGTGCTGCAGTCTGGCCCCTGGTATCTAGGCCTTATGAAGAGCTTCAGTGTCAGGAAGCTCTCAGTGTATCACCATCTAACTGCAGGAGAACAATCACAAGGAATCCTGTAACTTCGGTTATACTGACTTGGTAATAGCATTTTGAGCAATGAGGCTGACCACTGTCTTTGCTACGGAGGCAGGAAACTAAATCCAAAGTACTCAGTGATGGAGCAGAGAGGACCAGTGGAACTCTAGGTGTTCTGAAGCCGTTGTGTCTAAAAATGCTAACTGCTAAACATGCTCACCCTAAGGAAAAAGGAGGATGGAATTGGAGCATGCTTGCTCCTAGAACTGCCTATCACCCAGGGAGTAAGGTGGGTGGGTGTATTTCTGCAGAACCACCTCTATGAGTTATCTCACAAAGCCTGACAAACAACAAAAAGAAGCAAATGAGAACTATGGCCAGCATGGCATGAATAAAGTATCTTTGGCATTTCACTATAAATCTGTTAATATTCTCATTTCCTCTTGTAGCTTAGGCTGGAAATGAGTATATACTATTTATTTTGCTGTTTATACCACTCTTTTAAAAATATGTAACCAGTACATAGTGTTTTATTTTTTAATGCTGGTGACACACTCGGATCTTCCAGGATATACAGTAAAGTGATGTTATTCTGAAGATGTAACAATGATCCTTTTTGCCTGTATGTTTCCCTCTGTGCCTACCACCGTCAGTCTCAGTGACAGAGAGCTGGCAGAGGGAGACAAGAGTGCTCCAGGCAGATATGAGCAGGCGTTGCAGCCTTACTGTGTAGCTGTTTATACTGGCAGAGGCTGCTGTATTATTCCCCTTGTAGTATCCCCTTAGGCTTGTTGACCAGGTGATGTGGGGAGGAGGAACAGAGGACATGCAGATTTAGCAAACATGTCATATTCAAGTAGCTTTGCAAAAAGTTAAGTTTTCAAATTTTCCACCTGGCTTTTAAGAGCAGGAGTTATTTTGTGGTGATCTTCAGCAAGCTCCCCCTGCCCCCACCCTTGAGGTAGATAGGACAGGGAAGAATTGGAAAGAATGGAGAAGATTAGCTAGCTAAAGCCTGTGTGTGTGCGGTGAGACTAGTTTGAAAGCAATGTAAGAAGTGAAATCAGAGCTTGTCATTTACAAGAGAGATAAGGCTAAAAAGACTGCATCTTATTTCGGCAGGGATTTTAGGACACAATAGGTGGGAAATGGGTTAATCTGGCCAGTGGAAAACAAGGCTGCAGCAACAAGGACAAAGTAGACTCTAGACACAGCTAGTCACCAGGGGATAGAGGGCAGATGGCCCTGTGGAGCCCTTGGGGCCTAATGGCCAGAAAGGGCACATGGCACTAACACTGGCTCACAGCCAACAAGACTGGAAGGTTCCCCTGCCTCTGTTATTGTCTGCATTCAGCAGAGTTCACTTCTTTCCACCAGCCTCTGTGCACAGGTATTGTAATTGGACTGAGATGCTAGGGAAACCTAAATCCCAGCTTAATAATCAGTCAACTGGATGTGGAGCTCGTTCCCCACCTGTTTAAATTACAGACACGCACTGCCTAAGCCCCAAGCAGAGTGGCTGCCAAAAGGTGGGCCTTTCCCTGCCGTCATCACAGGCAGACGCCGTACTTCCACACGAACATGCCACTGTAGGCCAAGTGTTAGTAGTTAAACACCAGAGTTACAGCAAAGCAAAGCTACAGGCGAGTTTGCAAACACAGATGGTGGTTAAGAAACCATGTCTTAATGAAGTTAAGACATCCACTATTAGCTCCAAGTCATCGAGAGTTCCAACACACTTAGACTGAAATCGTTTAGATGCCTCAGTTTCTCTCTCAAGTCCAAGAATAAACATTTGTTAGAACACCCGTTATAACAAGAAAAGGAAAATCACACATAATGTTCTCGTGGGTTGATATAGAGTCTCTTGGGGTTGCTTGGGTGATGTTTGTGAGGGCTTCGGTCTTGGTAGCACATCTGGTTATAAAGGGGGTACATCTGCTGAGTCCCATCTTCTTGCACTGTGTTTTCATCTTCATAGTCAAATCTCCTGCTATTTAGTCCATTCTAGAAATTCAAACATTACTTATATTAGCAGAGACACTGTTTACATTCTTCTAGCATGCTGGGGAAAACAAGCAAAAGCTGAATTCATTAAAGTCTCTGCTCCTGATTCACAAGGAATTGGCTGGCAAGGCCACATTCAGCAGCTCACCATGTTCCAGTCATTTGGTGCCTACCATACCTGAGTAAGAGGAGTGGTGACTTGTAGCTGCAAATACAACTAAATACAAGTAATGGGGCTGTGAGTAAGTTTAGGTTTTGAAGTTTGGAATTGGTATCCATCAAGGTCAGCTAGAGAAGGAGAAGGCTGTGTATTACAGGAGCCTCTCAAAGAGGGCCCCGGCTTAGAAGGAATATATGAGATAGGCAGAGAATTAAATCAAACAAGACAAAAATAAACATTAAGATTCAGCATTGGGGGATTAGGGAGTGGACACAGCAAAATGAACTGGCATTTGACCATATGTCTGATCAAAGAGAGATTTAAATATGTCACCCAAAATAGCCTGTCCTTTCGACCTTTCCTTCTGACTGGACCTTGTGTCACAGCTGACACTTACTCTAGGATGAGCTCCCTCTGATGCTCTCTGGAATTTCTGACATGGCCCCTCTGCCTGCGTACTGGTTTCACACGAATGACAGTTGCTTCAGAGAGTATTTAGAAGTGCTCTTTAGATTACTTGCAAGAGTATGAAACAGCAGGGACTTTATCAAGCCATGTACAGACACTTAAAGAGGGAGCGATGGTCAAAGTGAACTTTTATGAACATCTGATAAAACTTTAAATGATCCCTGGGTGGGTACAACATGAGCCTTACTTACAGAGGGTTGAAGACCATCAGCAACTTTCTCTTTGAACTGAGTCTGCAAAGGCAAGTGTTCAGTCTGGAAGACATTAAAAGACACACACCATAAATCACCAACAGGTCAACCAATATCAGGGAGACTCCCATGTTCAAGGAGCTAATCACATCTTGCTTAATGTCTACCGACAAAGCGAAATAGTCTCCAGGAGGATAGAAAACAAAACAAAACAACAACAACAACAACAACAAACACAGCTACATCTTCCCTCTCCCCTCCCCCCTTCTCTCCTGGATCCTGGCTTCTTCGGAGGGAAAACATCCAGAACATGTGAAGCACAAGAGCTGGGGCAAACTGTGAGTATATGACTTGAAGAGTTTAATCACCAAAGGTCTTCTGTCTTTCGCTGGTGGAACAGTCTGGTATTTGGAACCAGGTGAGAACGGGCTGAACTGGTAATGACAAGCCTCTATAAGTGTCCATCTATGTGGCCATATTCTCCCCACCCCCATTCCTACCTCACAGTTTGTGAAGGGAGTCATCAATTTGAACATCACCTCAGCTGCAAAGGATCTTCCTCAGCCCCCGCTGCCTGATAACATTAGGCCAGCATCCAAGTGTCACCTGATTTGTAAAGCCCTGTAACAAACACCCTCAGGTGGGGGCAGCCATCAGAGCATAAAACAGCAGGATGGTTTCCTCATCAGTCTCCTGCACAACACTGAGTGCACTGAAAGGAGTCTTGTGAGCACCTGCTCATCTAACCCAGATAGGTAATTCTATAAAGCTGCCTTCCAGTGAAGTTGCTGGGGTCAGGGAGAGCACCACACTTGTAAAGATTGTACAAAGCCGCTGACTAACTTTCTGTCAGTGAGAACTACGATGTTACAGGCCAAAGCCAAATTATTCTCCTTTCCTTTCAGTCACTTTGAAAGCCATTCAGTGCTCATGCCCATCTGACTTAACATCCTGGTGACTATAAAAATCTTTCAAATGTATTCTCAGCAGACCACTAGCTTCTCCCAACCCAAAGGCTAAGGACTGCCATCAAGTAGCATACAAATGGTGCCCACCCATGCATCTTCTAAACACTTGGGTTTAGAACTTTCTTCTGTAACCAATATAATCTCATGTTACTGCTTCCACGGCGCTTGGGGAAATCTATGTTCCCAGGTCATGATCAAATGATCATGACTCCAGATCATATCTGACTCCAGAATAAACTATCTCTTATTCCCTTTGAAGTACAAACTGTGTTTTTCTATTAATACTATTTTACATGTGACTAAATCTGGGTCTCAATGTGATTAAGATGTCTTATCTGTTAGTGTAGCGTTACTTAAACGTAAGTTTTTTCTAAGTTTTTGAGGCTTATGTGCCCTGCTTCTTAGCTCCATGCCTACACAAGATGTTCTGCAAAAATAATAAGAGAAAGACTGAATGCCCTGTGTGGCATATCCTTGCTCCTGCTGTTTTGGTCTAGAAGGCTTGCCCCTTATGCTCTGGCAGGTGAAATACTTTCCATATATGATGACCTGATAAAGTCATTCCTCTCATTCCATAGAGCCTTTCTCTACCTCAGACATTCCTTTCATTTTTACTCTCCCCACTGTTCATCTTTGCACATCTATTATGACTCACCTCATAGTTTGCCTGAGTTTATAACCTTGGCCTTTGTAATTTTTATCTCCAGTAAATACTGAACCTGTCCTGCCTGCTGCTGTGGCTTGAATGTTTACCCTCCCCCAAGCCTATTTGTTGAAACCCAATCTGCAGTGTGATGGTACCAGGAAGTGGGACTTTGAAAGGAATGAGGTAATGGGGGTAAGGTTCCCATGGATGACGTTAGTACTTGGTATGTGTATGTATGTATATATCCATCCATCCATATATAATATATACATACATATATAAAATATGAATTTATATAATATATTATACATACACATATAAGGCACTAAAGAGGCTATAGAATTTAAAATATGAATTTATATAATATATATTACACACACACACACACACACGGCACTGAAGAGGCTATAGAGTTCTCTTCTAAACTACGCGGTTACAGTAAAGACAGCCTTATCAGGAGGATTTTCTCCAGACACGGATCTGCTGATGCACTGGTCTTGGGCTTCTTAACCCCCACGCCTGACTAGGTGAAGTGAGTTTCTGTTAGTCATGAGCTTTCTTTTATGGCTTGTTTTTATAGCAGTTCAAAGGGACCTGACAGTCTTCTTTCATCCCAGTTTCCTACCCTGTCTTCTGTAATAGCAAGTCAACAGTTAATGAACTGATTGGAATCTAAACTCTCATTGGTTCTTGGTCTCCTGGGTCAAGGTAAACTTTATTATAAATTATCTGTGATAAACTACCTCCCCTTAACACCCAACATGATGCTAGGGTGCTTGTCACATGAACGGGTGACATTAACAACACAATACACTCTAGTAGAAAATCCCAGGCAGGACAGCTTATCAGACCTATGGCCAGTCGTGGAATTCAATACTCTGTAGTTCTCATATTTCATTTCTAAATTTTATAGTGACTGTATATCCTGTAAGTGGCTTAAGAAGGCAAAGCAACATGCTTAGCAATGAGGAACCCTAGCTCCTTGGCATCATGGCTTCTGGTACTTGGCTTGAGTTGGCTCTTCTCTCCTGGTGCCCAGGTCTCATCTACTATCCCATCCAGTGATGTCATGGCCTTCCACCCTGAAAGGGGGCACAGTGCTGGCTTAGGAAAGGCCAGGACCAGAAGTGTGTGCCCTTCCCGGTTCCCAGAGGCCACATCCCAGCAAAGGCAAGCATCTTCCTCAGCCCAATCTATGCACCTAGCACCATCACAGCATTGCTCACTTTGCTATACCTCACAAATTATCTCCCTGCTCGTGCTCCAAGGAAATCAGACTTGAAAACTAATGCCTTAAAGTAAAATTGGTATTTTCTTTATCTTCTTTGCTTTTTAAATAGGATTCTGGTGCTTGCTTTCTTCCCATTTTTTATACAGATAATTAAGAAATTGTTCTCTGTTACTCATAACAAAGTAAATTTGATAACAGAGGAGAAAACAGCTCCACAGAGAAGGCAGGCATAGATTTTCTAAATCACTTAATTAATCTTCTCCAGGAACCAACTAATATATCTGGATGTCTTTATACAATATGTCTTATGTAGAACTTCATTTGTTCCTCTTCCAAAATCCTCTGTTATAATAAAACCTAAACCTATTTGTGTTGATTTTTAGAAAAATGAGTCAGTAAAAGCCATCACAATCTATGACATCTTTCATCAGCATCAAAGAACCTGCTACATAGTCCTGCTATGGTCTGCCCATGCTGTCTTCTTCAGCACTCCCACCTGTCCAATAGGCTGATTCAGTTTCTATATCTCATGCTTCCAGAGAAGGAAAAAGGAATCTGGTGATGGACTAAGTTGCCTAATCTTCCAGAAAGGTATAGAATCTACCAAAGGAAGGACAACCAGCTATGTTTGGAGGGTTGTTCCTCTTTCATATAAAAGAGCCCAATCATTTGGAAGAATGAGAAGTTAGCCCAACTCTGGTGGTATGGTAGAAAATGCCTACCAGCATAGCCTTGCCCACCAATACAGCCTTGTCCACCAATACAGCTCTTTGTTTGCTTCTCCTGTTGGGAGCACTGTGTGGAGAGAAGAGCTGCCTTTAACCATGACAGAGATGCACATTCTAGGAAAACAATATGACTGCAAGGGTTTATGGAGAGATGTGTTGGGAGCACATGCTGTCCTAATTAATACAAGAAAATTCGAAATAAGAACTTTAAACATGATCAGAAAATACATTAGCGGCCTGACCTTCACAACATGCTGATAAGCCTTGTCAGTGTCATCAAAGAAACACAGGAATAAATCCTAGAAACCAAAACTATCATGAGCAACAACATCCACATTAAGCTTACCAGGGCTTGGGAACGGCAGAGGCTAAAATCTATTTTTTTTTAATACAGTATGTCAACAAACTGCTTGCTTTACGACTAATATAGAATTGCTACCTTTTCCTATGATAGGAGATAGGAAATTAGCTGGACACTTGACACCACAAACCTGAACAAGAAAGAACATGTTGCGACTCTATCTCACATTTGAAATCTACGTCATCAAATCATTACAGCTCAGCAGACCAATAAGTCTGCAATGCTGAATACACAAATTCAGCTCTTAAATCAATAAACTGATTTCCATAATTCAGTTCTATCCTTATATAAAGGTTGAGTGGGAAATAGTTTCCACATACCTCTCCTGCCCCTCCATATGCGTGTACAAACCCCACCTCCAGGTCAACCTCTAGCTTCGCTGTGGCTCATCTGTTACAAATGGTAAGTTTTGCACACACTCTCATCTTCGTAAGTTCACCATTTACAGTTTAATTGATTCTTAGCAGCACACATTATTTGGTTGTTAATTAGTGTCTAATGCCATGGATGAGTCATTCTAGCATCACGTACTGAACAGTTTCATTGCCACCTGAACCCCCTATGCCACAGACAGTTGTTAGCCACCATGTAGGTGCTGGCAAGCAAACCCATGTCCTCTGGAAGGGCAGCTAATACTCTGAGCCGTAACTACTGAGCTGTCTCTCCATCCCCCAAATTATCTTTTCAAAAAAACATACTTCTTTCTTCCAAGCCTTTCCCTATCATGCTCTAATTGCTAGCCGCTGCGACATACCTTTTCCAAGAGAATCCAGAATGGCCTCTGCTACTACCCCATTGGCCATGATCAAATCGGTGTTCCGAGAATTGGACACCTAGATCAATGCTTTCTGTTCTCTGCCTGTGCCATCATTTGTGTTTCCTAGATGCTAAAAACATGACATCTTATACCGCATTTTGCTTTTGAGTGTTTCCTTCCATTCCAGAAGAAACTCCCGTGCCTGTGAGGACTTAGGGCTCCCACTTCTCAAGACCGTGGCTCTGTAGCATGTGTACTCCTCTCGCTGTCCATTTTCCTCAGCTTTCCTCCACAGTGTCAAATACCTGACAGTAACAGCCTGGAAGAAGAGTTTACACTTCAGCCTATGGTTGGCTGGATCTACTGGTTTGG